AGTCCTACTGTGCACATTTCATGTGCTGCAAGCCTTTAAACGGAAAGCAAAGACTGTGTATAAGGATGCGAAGGGTGAGCAAGTTCTATTATTTCGTAAAGCAGTATACTCTTGCTCATTTCGAATGTTTAGACTGGTTATGTAAATGGCTGCTGGAAGGCGGTGTAGACGCCGCTGGGCCCATTACGCGCGGCGTTATCTGCTCACATATGGCGATAATACGACGAATAAGATCGAGAGTATCAACAGACGCTTGACACACAGACGTGTAGACCGCATATGTTTCTCACCAATTGTGTTCATAGCATTGTTGCTTATTTGGAGGCAAAGAATGTAGATCAGGAAAGAAAAGAGGCCGACGAGTATTGCCGCCGCAGGCACTACATAGGTTTGCAGTCACATGTCGCGCGCGTCTGCCGAATGCTGACTGGGTATGCGTCGGAAGTTGTGCTCCACCACCTTGAGGAAAACTGCGGCGTCACATTTTCCAGTAATGCGGTCGACAGGTGCAGCTGTCGGTTCAATCATAACTGGCAGCTGCCGTGTGTGCATATTCCGAACTTTATACAGCAGCACAATGTCGACCCCTGGTTGTGTCTGCAAAGGAGCAGATGGGTTTCCCAAGCAGTCGTCTGCGATAAGCAATTGCCTGGTGAAAATGTTGATCCAGCGCAGGTCACATCGTTTACGGCAGACATTGTGGGCGGAAAGGGTCAGAGGCCTTTCACGGAGGCCGAGAGGTATAAAATGGCCACAAGTCATGTGCGACCTATCGTGGAGAAGTTGAAGCGTTGTGGAACTGGGCGGTTCTTGGAGTTGTTGCGGGAGGTCGACGCATTTGCAGAACGCATCATGAACGCACCTGGTTGTCTACAAGGGTCGTTTGTCGACTCTCCTGCACAACCGAGCGGGGTTCAAATGGAAAAAGACGTTAAGAAGGAGGTGGTTTGTTGTATGGTTAGGGAGGAGGGTGATGTGTTTGTCGCGCAGATGGGTTCTAGTGAAGAATCTTCTGTATGTGTTCTGCGCAATGACAAGCTACTTCCCAACTTCCGCACTCGTGGTCATCCGTGCATGTAACAGCCCTGGCTGACTCGCAAACCTCTGAGAAGTCGCCCGATGAACATTACTGTCTCTACGGGTAGTGCCAGCACTATTACTCATATAGATTTGGGCTGCCCAGTCGGCATTTGGGGGAGAACGTCGTGGACCTAGATGACTTCCCGTTTGTAGACGCATGTGGTGCCTGTGTCGATAATACGGTCATAAGTAAAGGAAATCGTTTGCACTGTGTCTCATGCCAACGTAAATTCCACGAAATGTGCGTTGCAAATCCACTTATCTGTGATAGTTGGCTGTGCATGTTTTGCACCACCGTGACCGGAAGGTCTGAATGAGGCTGTGATGCGATAACTGACTGTGATCTCATTTTATTAATTTTTGGGTTTAGATTTAACTCTGTGATTAATGGTATGGCTGACACTTTTTTCCCGTGCGTAAGTTATCGGGTGTAGACCTTGTCGTTCACTTCCAACAGATGCATAACACGGTAATGCATTACCTCGGCCCAGGCGACCTACCCCCACGAAGAATTTGGAGTATCAATCACAGGTAAGAACACTCCTTTAAATAATTTTTTGTTGACCGATGTTCGACATTTGCAGGCAAAATAAGGGTATTGCAAGTAATTAATAAATGATGAGGAGGAGGTAAGTTTCATCCATTCAACGGGGCAACGACAACGCTGTCTTTTCTAGGTAATTGCACCAGGGTTCGCCCA